GTGTCGGAGGGTACTGCTTTGACGGCTTCGACACGTGCGATCGACTGGCTGGGATTGCAAAGAAGCTGGATTTGAAGGTGTCGCCGGTCGAGGACATCGGGTCGACGTGGTATGGTCCGCGGGACATGACTGTCCACGATTAAAGCGCATTGCCAAGGACATGGCGCTGACGGCGCCTGTGAAGCGGGAGGCGTTCGGATCAACGTGGTTCGGTCCGTTGGAGGCAGTACAAGCGTGCGCCAAGCTCGCGTTGTCGGTTGTTGAGCATATTTACGACAGAGAACGTCCTGACGAAGAGAAAAAGGTTTCAAACGGCCGAGAGCGTGGTCAGGCAGAGTGGACTATTGAGCACCTGCATTTGTACGCAGGACACATTGCATTGCAGCAGTGCACAGACACCGTCCATCGGCGCACCGACGTCCTCGAAGTCGCCGCCTCGTCCTCTCGCCACGTGGACACCATGGTGCACATGAAGGCTACGACAGATTCCATCCCGTTCAGTCGGCTTGGATTTCACTCGGACACGACTCAACCAGATGTTGACCACATCTCCGACCTCGATCGCGACGTTGCCAACGATTTGGCGATTGCTTTAGCTCTTGAAGCCAACCAAGGTACGACCGGCGTGAGGTTTCAAAATGTCCTGGAAGAGTCGTTCGTGCGGGCAGCAGTCGTGTATCTGCCAAGCGATACCCCAAAGTTCGTCAAGGAAATGCTGTGGTTCCATGAGAGTTGGGTCGACATGATCTCGCATCAGCCTGCCAAGTGGCGCACGGACATCGTTGTGTTCACAGACGGAGATCTGCCCTTGTGGAACTACCTCAACTGCACGACAGCCATCCGTGTGACGCCGGACGAGCCCAACCGGTGCATCGTTGTCCAGGGGTACAAGAAAGTCAAGTCGGACACGTTCAACTACGGATTCGCAGACTCGATCAACGTGGTGGCCATGGAGAGCGCCGCGACGGCGCCGTACGACTGGATCCTGCGAACCGACATCGACACGTTTTTCACGCCGGCGTTTGCCAAGTGGAAGCCGCTCAAGTTTACGGTGGGCAGTGTCGGAGGGTACTGCTTTGACGGCTTCGACACGTGCGATCGACTGGCTGGGATT